ACGAACCAGAGTTCCCAAGCGCCTTAGATCGATCTTCATCATCAGTGGAGCTCGGATAACGCTTGGAGAAGTGCCGATTGCCGACCAGAAGCAGAACCCCATTCTTCACAGCATGATTTCTGCTTCTGAGCTAGAGTTTGCTTCTCTCTCCATGGAGTAACTTCCACATTCACCTGGGTATGAAGAACCCTAGATTTGTATGTTAGGTCTGATTGTATGAACCCAAGTATGAATCCATTGATTTGATTATATTCAATTGAGGTCTGATTTGTTGAATGGCATGAATCCTGATCAAATGTTGTTTCTGCTTTGACCTAGAAAGAGAATATTTGCCTAGGTTGATAGAGCACCCTTGATTGAAGGTAGTGAATTGACGACTTTAGTCGAGGATTCGATTCACTATCTTGTACCGGATTTGCTTCGGTAGTGGAGGTTTGGTTCGTTAGGGCCTCAATCTGTTTACTCCGGTGGAGGTTAGTCACCCGCTGGGGACTCAGATTGAGAGGGTCTGGAGACCTTTAGTCGAGACTGCAGACTGCATAAGAACCTCCCACGGTATAATTATCTTTGAATTCGAACTTGGTAAATTACAATCTGGCTTAACTACAGTCTAGGGGGAACCATATCCAGGTGACCTATCTCAACTTGAAAACAACTTTTTACTGCTTTGCTTGTTTGTTGGCTTGAACCTTCACTACACTTTCACTGCTAAATAATAATAATTCACGGAGTAGTCATCACACTTAGGACCCGGGTTGACATTAAAACCCAAACCCGCTATATTATGCTCTAGTAGGTGGTTACACTTGGTCATTTACTAGCGCGACGGTAGAGGCGAGTCAGTGCCCTAATCTCATATGCCATAAGTCTGTATCTTGATTTGTATGTTCTGAAGTTGTGGAAAATGTTTTTGAAATGGAAGTCTGATTCCTGGACCCTTCAAACAGATAGAGGCCTCTACTTGCTTGGACTGAACCAATCCTCTGTTGAGATACAAGGTCCTAAATAAAACAGAAATGGGATTTGAAAAAGAAGTGAGACTGGAGAATGCATAGTTAACTGACTTATGAAAATGAGATTATATGAGAAGGAAGGGACTAACAGGACATTAGTGAGCAAAATCCCACATTCTAACTTAACAATCCATATATGAGTGGCAGGGGTTTGTTCTCCATTAAGTAAGGTAACACTTATGCCCTGAATGGTTTTACATCGAAGGAAAGAACTGATGTCACACACAATATGGTCACTAGCTCCACTATCTAGCACCCATAATCCCTTGTCATAAACATTAGAGGAAGAAGAGAGAGTGATGCTACCTGACATTGGTGCTTTGCCATTGTTTCTCACAGTAACTGAATTAACTTGGCTTGTCTGAGACTGCTTGTTTGGAGAGTTGGGACCAGATCCAGATCCAAAGGGTTGATTGAAAAGATGCCTTAACTTCCCAAGTTCTTCAACAACATTAGAGAAGTTGGCAAAAATAGCATGTGCATCTAGGGTATTGGGACTTCGTTGTTTTGCTCCAGGACTAGGAGGATTGCCTCCTTGAAAAACTTCAGACATTGTGTCAACAGAACCAGCAAACCCTCTTCCCCCTGGCCTGCCAGTTCCAGAACTTCCTCCCCCTTTTTTCTTCTTCTTTAATTTCCAGCAATCTTCGATAACATGATTGCCTTTCTTGCAGTATCTTCAAAACAAATAATCTCTTCTCTCTGAGAGTTGTTTGAGTTCTGGTTGTTCCATGAATTTTGTGAATATTGAGTCCTGTTTTGATTACCAGTTGCTGCCAAAGCTATGGCCTCTGCATTCTTACCACCAGTCAAGCTAGTCCCATTCATTTGCCTTTCTAGCTGAATAACAGTTTTATAGACAGTATCAAGATCTTGCAGAGGCTCAATCATGAGCATCTGGGTTCTAGCTTGCTGGAAATTCTGATTCAACCCTAACAGGAAACGAATGACCATAGCATTCTGTTCATATCTCTTAACAGTAGCATAAGTGCCAGCCTCGCATTTAGTAAGGAATAGGAAGGTATGAGTGCAGTTCATCCCATGTAACTTTCAGATCAGTATAGTATTGTCTAACTGACTGGGTTCCCTGCTTAGCAAAATCAACCTTCCCCTGCAAATCAGCAATGCGAATAGAATCTCCCTGGCTAAACTTAGATTTTAGGTAAACCCAAGCATCAGCTGCAGATCTGATGCTCCTCAGAGTAGGAACAATGTCATCCGAAACTGAGTTCCGAATCCAACACACAACAGTTCCATTACAACGTTCCCAAGTGTGAAAAAGGGGATATGTGTTGTTAGGTACCTTAATGGAGCCATCGACGAAGCCAAACTTGTTCTTGGTGCGCAAAGCCACCTCCATAGACTCACTCCACAACAAGTAGTTATCATCAGTGAGCTTGAATCCGATGACGGGAAGGAAGGAGTTGTCGCTTTGAGCTAGATAATAGGGATTGCTATATGGGTCCTCAAAGCGGATCTGACTAGCGCTGCTTCTGTCGCCATCTTTCTCAGTTTGAGCCGTCATGGATGTTCAGAAGAAGAAGAAGAAGAAGAAGAAGAAGAAGAAGAAGAAGAAGAAGAAGAAGAAGAAAGGAAGACGAGAGGAAGATTATCAAAGCCAAACAGGCTCTGATACCATGTGAATGTTTGTAATGCTTGGAGAAAACCTTTTCTGTAATGAAACGAGAAGGGTATAATGCCAACTAGGATTTTGGGAAATTGGCTCAATGGCCTTTCCATTCAGCAGCAGCAACTATATATAGTCTGTACAAAAGCAGCAAAGAAAAGGAAGAAAAGCTATCTATCTGCTAATCTACTCTGTAACTTTGCTAATCAGATCACTAATATTTACAAATGAACCAATGAATCAACGACACGTATGTAAGCATTGTACATTAACCGTTCCATTTGATTTATACCAAAACGCATCGTGGAAAGCTTCTCTCCTTAGCAACGTCATCGTTTGGTGTTGTGCGCTGCGTTGCAGAGGAAAGCAGAGCAGAGCTGTCATCTCTTCTTCTTCACAACCGATGACCGACCCATGATCTCAACTTTGTTTTCACTTTTATGGATTCCAGTCCAATGATTTCCGGGCTTCATTGTATCATCATCTCGCCTATCCAATTATGAGCACTCGGAATCTAGCAAGAGCAAGTATGGTGATTAAATATGTTGTTGAATCGTGGTTCGGGCAGTATATTAATTAATAGAAAAAGGACAATTATCATGTTGCATCAAGGAATGGCAATGGGCAGGTCCGGGGCGGGTTTCTTGGTACCCAGACCCGTCCCGTGGCAGGTCGGGTTCAGGTCGGGTAATTTATTGCGAGTTGCGGGTTGGGACAGGTCAACCCAATGGGTATGCAATTTATATGAAAAATATTAGAAATATTCGTTATTTTTATTATAAGACCAAGAAAACAAACAATATTATGATAAATGTAGTTAAATTATTGGAGAAATTGAGGTTTTCACTAATTTACAGCTTTATTATAGCTAAATTATGATGTAATAAAAGAAAATTGTTAAGTAATTTGACTAAGATTACATGTAATCAGGAAAGAACGGGTCGAGAATGGGGCGGGTCAGGGCAGGTCGGGTCGATGAGAGTACCCATGCCCGCCCCACCCCGCCTACGGGGCGGGTCGGACCCGCTCCAAAACAGGCCAAACAAGTCGGGTAAAACGGGTCAGGTCGAAATTGCCATCCCTACTTGCATGGGTGAATTGGGTGGGTGATGATGTTTGGACGTGATAAACTAGTAACGTAAATAGTTATTTATTAACGTTTTATGTTGATAATACTATAATTAAATGGTAGAAAAGTTATTGTTAAGTTCGAAAACCTTTTTTTAATGACGGAATTAAGTTTCAGTACTGATAGAATGAAAGAGAATAGGCAACAATCGATCGTTCGTTCTGTTGTTCCGATTGGATGCTATTTTCTTTTGTAATAGTATACTCACATTGCAATATTAAAACCTTTCCATTGATAGAATTAAGCTCTTAGATTGATTAGATCATGTCAAATAATCGGTTACTTCATCAGATACATCAACCATTATTTTTCCTTTGTAATGATACAATTCCATTACAGCAAAATAAATATATCATTTTATCGATAATCAACCTACTTTTTAAAATCACGATACCTTACAAGTTATCCTATCAAAGTCCAAAAGGGTTATAGGTATAATATGCCCCTCTACTATGACGCTTTATCAAACATGCTCTTCTACTATTTTTTATATCTAACATGTCCTTGTACTTTGTAAAAATGATCAAACATGCCATTTTGTTAAAATTTTCATCCAAAAACCATTAACCAAGGCCGAACTTTAGTTTTGGCGACACAAATGACTAAAATATCCCAAATAAATTCACTTTAGAATTTTTTTGGTTCTTTTGTATAATAAAATAATTTCACTTTGATTGACAAACCAGAGAAATTAAACAGGGGACAAAACTGATATTTTTCCTCCCATTTGCCGATGTCGGGTCGTCTTAATCTCGGTTCAACCATGATTGACAAATTTTTCAATGGAAATTTTAACAAAATGGCATGTTTCATAATTTTTTCAAAGTATAGGGGCATATTTGATGTAAAAAATAATAGAGAGGTATGTTTGATAAAACGTCATAGTAGAGGGACATATTATACCTATAACCCGGTCAAAAATTACTAAGCAGTCCTCAGACTTTGATTAAGATAAAAGTTCACGTGCACACGCTTGGAAGAAATGTTATTTTCTGGTTCCCAGAAAGGTACCCAAAAGTTAAAAATATACGCCGAATCGCTCCCCTAGTTTTAAAATTCGAATTCAATTTTTTTCACTTTCACATAATCCAAAATCGTTCTGGCGGTAACAATTTTCTATTATGTTGCCGCCCCAAAACGGCGCCGAATCGACCGAACAAAAAATAAAGGCCCTTGGCCTTGAATTATTTTAAAAAAAATTCCGCGAACTCCATTTCTACACGTCAGCAGAGGTGGGTCATTTTCTCACTACATTCGAGTCATCGTCTGCGCCAATATAAATGTCGACCGTCGCTTCGTCCATTCTCTCTCCTCCATTCGCCTCTCTCTCTATCTCCCTCCACCCATCGCCCGAAATTTCTCTCTGGGGAGAGAGGAAGTGAAAGGGAGCGCCCTAGAAAAGGCAGCTCGGCCCGGCGGCTCTCTGCTCACTTTCGCCCCCGACGACTTCGATCGGGTTTCTAGGGTTCTTCACCGATCTTCACTTCTATTGGCGGTACGGGAGGGTATCTCTCTCGGTTACTTCGAAATGACTTAGCTTGTTGAATTTTTTTTGTTTGTTAATTTTTCTTCGCGGGGTGGAATTTGTGTTGATTGGGGGAGAGGGAAAGGAAGTAATTTTCGCTGGTTGCAGCTGAATTCAAATTCTGGAAGGTTGTTATTAGGTAAAAATCCCCGAATCGATTTGGTCGTCTCTGCTGCCATTGGTTTTGGCTCGGATCTGTCGTTCATAGTGTTTTCTGGTTACCCTGTTTCGTCTGTTTTTGGTCCGTGGAATTCGATCTGCTGTTGTGGGGGAAATCTGTGTTTTCCATGGCCGGATGTAGCTTTGGTGTTTGAGGCGGGTTAGGGTTTGATGATTAAGGCTTTAGCGTAGGGGTGAAGAAATGAAAGCCCAAGGAAAAGGTGGTTGGCGATTCGGGAGCTATTGGTAGTTTCTAAAATGGATTGTGATCAGGGGGTTTGAGTTTTGGATCGCGATTCTATGTCTTTGCTGTTGATTGTAGTGGAGCAGGTTAAGTGCCTGTGTTTAATCTCTGTAATAATTTATGGAAATGATTTTGGAAGAATGAAAGATTCGAGCTTTGTTGAGGAGATGTAGTGGTACTAGTCATATGATTTAATTGTGCTTTCATTTGTTCATTGTTATGATCATTGATTTTGAAGATTTGAATCCCTCACTTGGTACTTCATTGCTATGTCTTGCTGTCAACAGGCGGCTGTTTGGATTGGTAGTTAGCTTTTGCTTATGATTGGATTTCTGATTTTGATTACTGTTATTTCAAGCCGAATATTGTGCCGCCTTATCCTGCTTCTAAAACTTCTGTTTCCTATTCTGCTGCAGTTGCATATCAGGTGTCTGATCCGTTTAGGTGTTACGTATAGAATCATCAGAAGTTTCAAAGATGGCAAAAGATAGAAGAGATCGTTCTAGGTCATTTGATAGGTACAGAACTTCCCCATACTCGAGCAGTTCCAAACGTCCCAAGCTCTCTTCACCCAAAGTGTCATCATCAAAGCCAGATGAAAACATAAAAGAATTTGAAGATGCACGGTGCCCCGTCTGTATGGAGCATCCCCACAACGCCATCCTCCTGATTTGCTCATCACACGACAAAGGTTGTCGACCGTACATGTGTGACACCAGTTATCGCCACTCGAACTGCTTTGATCAGTTCCGTAAATCGTTTGAGCAGCAGCCTTCAGCATCACCACCTGAGGAGACTAGTATTAGGGGTTCAACCGAGGTAGTAGTCAATTCCGAGTCAGCAACTGTGTCAAGCTCTGCTGGAACTGGTAGTATTAGTTGCGACAACAAGGTACCACCTGAGCTGATGTGCCCGCTATGCCGAGGCCACATCAAGACATGGATGGTACTGGAACCCGCTCGGAGCTTCATGAACTCCAAATCAAGAAGCTGTGCCAGTGAGGCGTGTGAATTCAGCGGCACGTATTCCGATCTGAGGAAGCACGCGAGGCACGAGCACCCTCTCGTTCGCCCGTCAGAGGCCGACCCCGAGAGGCAGCGGAACTGGAGGCGGCTGGAACGCCAGAGGGACATGGGAGACCTGCTGAGCACGCTGCAGTCCTCGTTTGGGGAAGAGAGGGTGGTACATGACGATGACAGCAGCGACATAATGATGCCGCCCATTGACGATGGCAGTTTCCTTACCGTGTTCTTTCTCATTAGGGTGTTTAGGCCGGGAGTCATGGGCAGTGGCTCGAGAAGTAGAGCGTCATCACGTGCTCGAAGGCGGTCGACTGCTGCCAGGGAAGCTCTTTTTGGGGAGCCTCGCAATGATGAAGAGACGGTATCTTCTTCCAGAGATGCTGAGAACAACAATGATGATGACTCGGATGGAGGATCCGTGCATTTGAGGCAAAGCGAGCGGATCCAGAGGCAGCAGAGAACACCAGACTCGGATGGGGGCTCTGTGCCTTCGAGGCAAAGCGAGAGGATTAGGAGGCAGCGAAGGACGCCAGACTCGTCCTGATCCTTGTTGGGAGTACAGTTGAAATATGTTGGGGTAGTTTTAAGTTGAGATGGCCTAATTGTAAGTGCAAAGTCTTTACCCTCCTCTCCTTTTTTCTTCACCCGGTTGTGTCAAGTCATGGTGAAGAGCCTATTGCCCTAATTACTAGTGGGTTTTGCTTTGCAGGTGGTGGAAGTGCGCTTTCCTCGCGCCCTTGGATTGCTTATAGAAAGGGGGTTTTGGTTGGGAGGGTGAAACAAAAGTGTAATATGGAAACAGGGTGGTACTCTTAAATTCAATGAAGTGATTTGTGTTTTCCCTTTCGCAAGTGCATTTGCTTCAGTTCATCAGCTGTTATTATCACGAGGGTGGTGGGAACGTTTTTTGTTTCTATGTGAGGGGATTGATCCATTTGTAATGAATATAAACCAGGTTGTTGCCATGTTGGTGAATCCTCTGCGATGCTGTATGTAACAACATATCAGCTGTGCTTGGTTTACCTTACTGTCTGCTATCGAGAACCAGCTAGGTCGACCATCACCAAGCAACCAGCTCATGACAGTTGTTTGTCTTGTGAGATGGTGAATGATTGAGATTCTGTGTGGACATGGTGATGGGTTTGGTTACTGTCTTGGCTAACATGGGTTGGTGTAGTTGTGAAGAAATCCAGTTGCCAGTTGCCAGCATCTCTGTTGGGCCATACCCATGATCATGCATCAGCCCATTGCTTCCATTTTCTGTTTACTTTAACTAACGGTCAACTTGCCATCATTCTTTGAATAAGGATGGTTAGGAGAAAGTGAAACCTCTGGTACAATGAGATTATCTTAACTAGTATAAAATGTAATCCGTTCAAAGAGGTTTCCGTAGGTTGAGAATCACTATAATAGTAACACATTATTATAATAAGGTAACACGCCGTGAACATTCAGAATTCTCGCTAATTTAAAATTTATTGCTTGTATCGATAAATTAAGTTACTATCGTTTGTCGCATTAGCACATTCAATTTAGTGATTCGTATGTATGTGGTACTGATTTCGTAGACATCTTACACATTCTTGTTTCCGTGGATTTGGTAGTTTGCTCTTTTCTAGACATTTGAAACTAGAGATGTTATGCATTTGATGTTAGTTTTTTTATTTATTTATAAGGGTGACTTATGTTTACATTTAGTGGCTAGGTGTTACTTAAGAGTTAATAGAGTTGAATTTGGGATCTCCATATTCAATACTGGTTGGCTGGATGTCAAGTTAGTATGCGCTTGATATAAATACATTATTGACGTGATTTACTAGTATGGTTTATGTTAGTCATATAAGTAGAAGAGATAAGTTTTTGCTATTTTTAACGAAAATACTAAGTAAAAAAAATTATATGTTATATATAAAATCCCACCGTAATTTTTGTTTTTGTTTTTGTTTGTAAAGGTGCTGCTTTGTTTTTTTGTATTTGAATTTTGTGAAGGTACTTTAAGCTAAAAGCTAGTTGCAACTTGCATATTCGTATGTTAATCATTTTTGGCTTTTCTTATGTTATGTATTTTTGGTGTATATATTCAGGTTAGTTCGTTGTTTGTATCCTTCCTTTTTTTGACCTCCTTTCTGGCTGGACGGAGGTGGTGGTGGCGGTGGATCTTTCTCTGAACACCCGCTCTCGCTCGCCTTCTTCTTCTTCTTCCTCCTCTCTTTGCTCCCATGGAGTAAACCAGACCTCCCCACTCCGCCAGCTTCCGATTTCTTTTGGGAGGAGCAAAAAACTTTTGCTGCTCCCGCTGGCTCTATAATTCGTATTTTTGAAGCTTTTTGTCATTGGGGGGCGCGCTCAAATGGGGTCTGAAACCATCTCTGGCTCGGAGAAGGAGAATTCGAACGATAGCGCCGAAACCCTCGTGATGTTGAATGTCTACGATCTCACCCCTGTCAATGATTACACCTACTGGTTCGGTTTTGGGATTTTCCATTCTGGCATTGAAGGTCTGGCCTTCCTTCTTCTCCTTCCTTTCCCTTTTCTGGGTTCTTGTTTTATATAGACAGCTGCTTCTTGCGGGGGGATTTTCTGCTTTCCAGCATAAGGGTTTTGGGTTTTTGCTATTGTTCTCTTGTTGGGAATTGTTCGAATCCAGCTCCTTTCGTCTGCTTTCGTTTCAAGATTTGAGAATTTGCGCTTGATCCTAGGCAGATTGAGATGGGGAATCTCTATGGGAAACTTTGAAGAATTTACCGTGTTAGTTTGTATTGGCTGATAAAGGGATGCGATCTTTCTGTAAGGTTTGCCTTTGTGAGAATTTGAGGTCAGGGGAAGCTGTTGGAGTAAAGAAGTTAGAATGATGATTCCTCCTGCTCGTCTTCTCTTTACATTTTTAGCAGCTTGTAGAGTAACTTCCTTCCGTGGGAAATGGGAATAGCGTAGCAACTTTGATTTAAACCACCTTATGTGGTTCCTTTGATCTTTCTTTGCTTTAGTTCAGTTACCCTCCTATCGTTTTCAGTTTCTTAATGGTGTTTGACTTTGTCTTCTGGCTTTGGATTTCGACTGCAACATGAGATACTGCATTCATAGAAGAGGAGGTTATGATCCTGCATGAGTTGTAGAAAGTTGGTGTAGATTTTGTCTAGCGATCCTCACAATATGACAATTTTGCACAGTCTAACTAATGTATAGGTCTTTCTCTGTTTATTGTTGGGCCGAATCGCTTGCCTGATGTTTGGATATATGTGTTGGGCGTGTTGTTTCAACAGTTCATGGGAAGGAGTATGGGTTTGGAGCTCATGACTTCCCAATTAGTGGAGTTTTCGAAGTCGAGCCAAGAAACTGCCCCGGTTTCATTTACAGATGTTCCATCCCAGTGGGGACTATAATGATGCCGCCTATAGAGTTCAGGACTTTCATTGAGGGTATGGCTTCCGAGTATCATGGAGACACTTATCACCTCATCTCCAAGAACTGCAACCATTTCACAGATGATGTAAGCTCCAGGTTGACAGGAAAGAGAATCCCAGGCTTTGTAAATCGCCTCGCTCGCCTTGGTATGCAGAAGCCTTGTACCAATTACGATTGAGACATTCAAATACCATTCAGAAGTGGTTGCCTTTTAGTTTGTTTGACATGTATCAGAATCGATACCATTATTTGTTTTTTGAAATACTGCAGGTTCCCTATGCAGTTGTTTGCTTCCCGAAAGCCTTCAAGTAACTTCAGTGAAACAGCTACCTGAGCACCACGATTTATTGGGTAAATACTGCATTTTCTTAGACTTGTATATTTGATTGTACATGTCTTTTGTCCGAATTTCTTCTCAAACCTGTGATGAAATTGCTTTAAATACAGAAGACGATGGAAGCGAGTCTCTGACAACTGGCACCCCACCCTGTGAACAAATGGAAATCGATGATACTGATCAAGAGAGGCACCTTCTGTCTCCAAGCAATGGAGCTGCAGAAGTATTGTTTGTCAGAGAGAGAACTCTAACAGAAGAAGAAAAGCTGCCTCATTGAGGGTTGAATACAAACGAAAGAAGATAGCCTCTTTTTACCCTTTCCAAACCCACTGCTGCAGTATTCTTCGAGACACGATTCCAAACGTAGGACACAGGGAAGGAAAGAATCCAGAAAAAAACTAGTTACCTGTTAATGGTCTGTAATTGTATTCATACCCTGTACTGGCACCTTTCTAGTTAGTGGAAATGACTTCTTGAAATGGATTGAGAAGTCAGAATGGTGTTATTTTCATCAGTGTAATTGTGTTGCTTGTAGAAAGAATGGTTCAACCTAATACAATTGATGGGTGGGATTGGATTGGATTGGATTGGATGTGTACTTTGCTTTGTGGATTCTAACCCTTAAATTGGGTCTTTTTTTGATAGATCATGTATCATCGATTTGATTTGTGTATGTTGTATTATGTATATTCCACTATTGTACTCCACCAGGCATCAAAAGAAAGTACACCAAATGGATTCAATTGTACATTATGGTCGTCAAAATACCACATAATATATGTATCAAAGAGTAAATACTAAATTACATTCAATCTCATGATTCAGAAGAGTAGCAAGTAACCCAAGTTTCTCATTGCTCATAATACACTAATAATGTGAACCACCACCGGATAGCCTTGCATATCTAGAACCACTTGTGGCTCCATTGGTTTGTTTCATCAGTTGTTAACATCCCTCTTTCCAGACTTCCACTTCCCATGTTACTTTGATGAGGAGCTGGTGTCGAGCCCCAATTTGGAAGATAGCCAGGCGCATACCTCGTCCATCTCTTGAGGGATTGTGTAATGTCCAAGGCTGTAGTACGATTCAACGAAATTCACGATTATTACTAAATGCTTCGAGATGTTTGATTAGGGTCCTTGAGACTAATGCATCTGCAGCAAACATACCTGTTATATGATTTGAACGTTACATCTTTGAATCCAAGCGAGGTCAACACACGAGAGGACTTCTCGCCGTATTTGTGTGAGACCACGTCATCAGCTGCAACAGCCAAACAACAACAAAAAGAAGAAAGTAGAACGCCAATCTCTCCCAATGAAAGTGATGCGAACTGAGACCCAACAGGAAATTCAGAAGTTTACCTTTTCCATGACATAACAAAGTAGGGAGAGATGCAGCACGGTCAGCTGCTCCATCCGCTCCTTCGAGCTGTTTACCCAATGTCCTGAAATATAAGAATAATAGTTGACTGGTACAGAATTTGACATGGAACAGAATAACAATGAGAGAAGAGCCAAGCAGAAGAAGTCGAACTTTGCACAGGGAAGCCAGCCGCTTAATCCAACAACAGCACTCAAATTAGCTGTAAACGGGTTGCCATTTGCATACTTCCCAACCGAGAAGCAGGTCCCAGAGTATAGAGCGGTCGCTGAACCCATACTGAAGCCTCCAATGCCTATTTTAACTGTATAAAAGCCCACACGTTTCAGAGAGTGCATACAAGTTTCATGGTAATAGCCTGAAGATGCAAGAAGTCACTGCAAGATAACACCTACTATCAGCAGGCTCTGTTGACAATAAGTTTGCAACGTGTGTTGCAGCAGCATCCAGACCCTCCAAGTCATCTGGAGCATCCTCCGAAAGTTCCTCAACATCAAACCCTAATTTCATCAAGTCGAGGTTCAATTCGTTGCAAATAAACATGATAACACCTAATCATATGAAAGAGAACTGAAGTTTGTGTGGTAATTTCTAGCGAACTGGTTAAAATGAGTCTATTGGGCAACCAAAACTTACATGCTGTAGATGGGAAACCACCAAACAGAGTTACAGGTCGAGTTGGAGCGGTTGGACATATCCATTTAATCTGTGTAGACAAGACCAATTAGCTGAGTACAGACAACTTAAAACGATGTCACTTGTTGAAACACCAAAGAAGCGGCTTACACAAGTTTTTGTTTTGTCATTTTAAAAGATCTTATCCTTACATTTGGAAGAGGGAGGGCTTCCAAGAGCTGGGACCAACTGCCAGGCAAACAAGATCAACACAAAGAAAATCAATATTGGAAACAGATGCAGAAACAAGAACTTGCAAGTAAACATTAAAAAGAAACTGCGCAGATCAGCATGTTTTCCAAAAACGTTTTGAGTCACTGTAACAAAAGCTCGATTCCAGCACCACAGCAAGCAGGAAAAAATGGATTGGTCTGAAACACAAGCCTCTCCTTAAATGATATTGTAAAACAGCACAACAGGCATAGTATAAAATGTTCGAACATCATGCAAACTCCATTGCGGAACTGGTGAAGAAAATTGCTTAAGAGCATTGTTGCAGCCACAGGGGTCAAGGGGGAGAAAGCAGACTTCTAACCTAGATGGCTTGTAGTACAGACCTTCCTACTCTCATTATGGAATACTACCATACAAAACTTGTTCTTGGTTTGTACGAAAAGTACCTCCCTAACAAGAAACCACTAACAAGGGCAAATTGAGAATACCTTGAGCCATTATCACCAAGTCCATGCAGCCAAACCACAGTCGCTTGATGTTTGCCCTTGGGCCTAACCACATATGTCTTCCCAAAATCGAACGCTCTTCTAGCAGTCTTCCCACCTGTAAACGAACCCAATCACGTCAAGATGATGACAAAAACTTCCCATATCCAAAAAAGAACAGCTAACCTGGAACTCATTCTCACATTCCAGCATCCCCAGTCAACTGAACAAACATGCAAGAGAAAGCACTGGGCACCCATAAAAACTCACCAGAAGCCATTGACGGACCTGTGAAGCTCATGTTGGACAGCAGCAGAACCGACCCAATAATCCCAAGAACCACGAAACCTACAACGAAGGAAGGATTTGCCAAATCCCGTCAAAAAATTATACGGCAAGCAATGAAAATCTTGGATACACAGTGGAAACAAGATTTCAACCGTTGGAAACCTAAACGAATTCGAGCCTCCACCGATTCCATCTCCTTCCCCCCACATTGCCAAAACCGAATCTTGAAAACCCACATCCACCAAGCAATAAATGGATAAAACGGACCGGAAAGGAGAAGATCCACTCCGAAATTCAACACAACAGGAGGTTCCCGACGATGCCGTCGGATCATCGGCTAGAGTTTGATTTCTTCGTGAGAGAAAATTTACAGAAGGCGGCGGAGTAACGAACCTTTAGACGGGGCGCAACCGTCTCGAACCCAGAACGACGCAGCAGCTACACAGGCAGCAGGTGCCAAAGAGGCAAAGACAGACCGAGCTCTCTTCTCCTCCGCAGGGGGAAAGAAAACAAACCAAAATAACTGCAACTTTTTCGGATGACGTAAATCTCAATGCCCATTTTTTCTTCATTACTTTTTTGTTTTTGTTTTGGCGTTTTATGTGTTAGTTATGGTGTCGTTTTGTACCCAGTCTGTGGCTGTGTCCGGGTCTCGGTTTTCCCCGCTTGGGCTGGGGTTCCGACCCGGTTAGTTTACCCACTGTGTATAGATTTGGATTATTCGGATTGGAAGGAGGATATGTTCAAAAAGTTCATTTAACTTTTTGCCTCTTCTTGCATTTTTAAAGCAAGTGGCCACCCTATTCGGCTATTCCTATCACCATAGTTGGGGCTTGGGGTTTTTTTTTTTTTTTTTTTTTTTTTACAAAAGATAATCATATATTGATATTAAGAAAGGTAGCTTTACATCCTGGAATTCAGCCAGGCCTGAAAATTATAATAACGAAAGTAAGGGCCTTTCTAGCCACCATATGGGCTACCCTATTGCTCCTCCGACCTACAAACCGCACACTAAACCCAGTATTTTGCATCAAACAATCCTGGACCTCCTCTAAAATCATCCCAATCCTACTATCTCTGGTGTCAGCTCGATTGATTTTCTCGACGATAACCTTGGCATCCCCTTCAAACCTCACCTCCTGAAGACCATTGGCTACACACCACAAAATAGCTTCACGTAGGACAAGCGCTTCCACTACCAACGGATCATCAATAGACGCAAACTGAATCCCCTTAGCCCGAAGGATTACACGCTGAGGATCCAAGAGCACCATACCACCCGCAGAGTGGGACCCAGCCCTAGTGGCTCCATCCCACATACAAACCATCGAGGGGCCCCACTCCAAGCCCGGTGAAGGGGGGACAGAGCGTAGACCCTGCCCCACCCTATCAGAAGACACTCGTTCCCACTCAGCACATTGTTGTTGAATTTGGCGCATCAAGGCAGGGAAGCCAACCTGCTTACCTTCAAAGACAACCCAATTTCTCGATTTCCAGATTCGCCACAAAACCGCCACCACCATCATGATAATAGGAGGTTGGTGGATCAAAGCGAATAGCCGTTTAAGGAACAAAGGAAAGGTATGGCGAGGAAGGGCCTGACCCAAATGCTCAAGGCCAGAGAAGTCCCATAAAGCCCGAGCCACCGGACACTCCAAGAACAAATGCTCCATGGTTTCCGAGGCCGCCCAACAAACCGGACAGCGAGGGAGGACCGGAACACTTCTCTCAATGAGACCTTCGGTGGTCGGGAGGATGCGATTAAAAATTTGCCATACGAAAACCTTCAATTTTGGGGGAATATCCGCCCCCCACAACCAAATCCAACTAGTCCGATCCATCAGTTGGGGCTTGGGGTTGGGGGAACCAACCATAGAGAAGCCAGCAATGGAAGGAATGAATCAAGGATTACTAAACCGTAATACATCATCAGTCGGATCGTAAAAACTGTCTATTACTGTTAAAATCATCATAGTAACAATAGTTCCAACACATAGACTCTAGAAAATCAAATCATGCGATCAACCTTGTTATTGTCTACGGGCGTCATGAGAGAACATAATTTCTCTTGGATTAGGTTTATTTACCACCTTATGGAAGGAGTGAAATTGGGTATGGAGACTCAACTCAGAAAGAATTACACATTAAGAGTATTCACCACTAACGAAGAAATGTGATCTCCGAAATGAGATTTCAAAGAATACAGATCATATATGACTCTCGTACTTGCTCACCTTATTTGCACTAATGGTCATATCAATGATCATAAGCCAAGCAATCCAGCTATTTACAAATACTGAGAAAGTACCCCAATTAGGCATCACATTGATCCGATGCTTGGAATATGTCTGAATCAAGAAACAAAATTGCATCATGCCAATAAAGCATAGCATCCTTTTGAGGGTTGGGTTTCATTTAGATATCAATGATGAATAGAGTCGTACCCTTGTCACAAAGCTGAGGTTCAAATCTTTCTTATTTTTATGGAGGCGATGATATATTGTCAAGTATCACTCGGGTAGCGATGATGGTAACAACTTTCATTGCACGTAACAAGACAATCCACTTTCCCCTTGTGTTGAGGTTCAAAGAAGACAATTTGATCCCTCTAATGCCAAATTCTAAGGCAAGGGTCTCCTCATATGATGATTGTTGGGAATGGTTGTTATCTCTTCAATCCCTACAAAAATGGTTGATATAAAGATGTTTTATAAACGTGGTACAAACAAAGGAGAATCTCCATCTTCAAAGATTCTCCATGAATCTGAACGCTGATTGTGTGGTTCTTCTCGAGAGACCGTTATTCAATGTCTCTTTCTCTATCCTTATACAACAGAGATGTGGAATCGGTTGGATCTTACAGTCATCTCCCCTCAAAATTTCACCTAGTGGTCCTTTGGCATGATAAGACATACTCACTAGTCCTTCCAAGTTCCAACAAAGGGTATTATGTCTGTAAAATATTTGAAAAGCTCCAAATGAGTACATTTTTCGTGAAGCTGATTTTCCCGTCTAACGACTTACAACAATGCTTTATGTGAACCTATGAATGTCATTCCCTGCAAACACTTTCATTCACAATTAAACTAGCTCGGAGTTAGTCTAACGCGTCTTCATCCACCGTTCAAGGATCTCCTAGAAAAGACTCATAGTAATAATGAGTCATTTGATAATGATGCAAAGGGAGACCCCAGAATAGTTGTATCATCCCTATAGCGTCACCCCAATTTGGCTCTTGAATGACTGAAATTTATGTTTCAAGGAAAAAAGTCTTTTTGTACTTTTATTTTCGAAAAAATATAGCCAAGTGTGTACTAGCTGCAAGCCTCCTAACTCCTAAAACCCAATCATGCGTTAGTCAACACCATTATGATAAACAAATTAATTAAGCGCGTAATCACTTGAATATTTCTCCAATCACCAAACCGGCAAAATCCTCTATACCTCTCTTTCTCCGACGGCATCTTCGGCCGGAAAAGAACTCTGGGATTATCAGATTAGTACAGAAGTCGCCGGCGAATAGGATTAACCCACCAACAATATACATCTCTGATCTCTGTCTAACTAAATCCGACTTAAGTATTATGTAATTGTGATTTACATTTCAGTTCCAGTTTACAGCATGAACCTGAAAACCCAAAAACAAAAAACGGTAGAATACAAGCCGGCCGGCAGCTATCTGCCGGAGATCACCGACACAGTGAAAGAACCGGACATGGCGGCGCCGGGAGTGTCATCTACTTTCGCTATAGGCACCGCCACCAACCTCTTATTGTTATTATTCTGAACTTCCCGGGAGGAGTCCTCATCCATGGACAGCATGTCAACGAGCATCATCTGCGTCTCCGGCGGCTGACCCACCGGCACTCTGCCTTCGAGCATCTCCACCACCGTACCCATCGTGGGTCTCAACGGAGCCTCCTCCTGTATACACCAAAACGCCACATGGACCAACCGCGTCAATTCCCTCTCGTCAATTCCGCTGCCGCCGTTCTCCAGCAATCTCCGATCCACCACTTCGATGAGCTTCCCTTCCCTCATCCTCTGTTCCACGATTCTGGGGAAGTACTCCCACTTCCCCCTCTTCTCCTTCCCCGATCTCTTCCCCCGGCAGACGTTCCGCCGCCCGCCGACCATCTCCAGTAGCACCATCCCGTAGCTGTACACATCCGATTTCTCCGAGATCCCGAGCTCGAGGAGCCACTCTGGAGCTAGGTAACCCCTGGTCCCTCTGATGTTCGTGATTACTCTGCTCTCGTCGCGGCGCATCAGCTTGGAGAGCCCGAAATCGGAGACGATCGCACGGTGGTTCTCGTCGAGGAGGATGTTCTCCGGCTTGACGTCGAGGTGGAGGATCCTTGAGCGGCAGTCACTGTGGAGGTAATTCAGCGCCTTCGCGACGTCGATTGCGACTCTGTATCTGAGGTCGAATGTCAAGCACCTAGGGTTAGGGTTTCCGTTTCCCCCAATTTTTTGGGGGAAAATCCAGCAATCGAGGGATCCGTTGGGGACGAAGTCGTAGACGAGGTAGCGAGATTGATTGGGGACGATGCAGTAGCCGATCAGCCTCGCGAGGTTGAGATGCTGGACGCTGGCGATGGCGGCGACCTCAGATCTGAACTCCTTCTCGCCACGGGCTTCCGGCCCGATTCGTTTCACCGCCACGGCGGTCCCGTCGCTAAGGACGCCCTTGAAGACCGAAGCGGAAGCTCCCCTGCCGAGGAAGGACTGGAAATTGGCGGTGGCGTCCTCGATCTCCTGGTACCGGAACTTGGTCGGGACGCAGGCGACTTTGCGGAGGAAGCTGTACTCGATGCGGAGCTCCCGGCTCTCGGAGACCATCTGGGTCCTGAGGATTTTGCTCCGGTTGTTGTAGCGGCGGCGGATGAAGATGTAAGAGACGACGGCGAGGATGACGGCGACATCGGCGCCGGCGATGAAGAAGAAGGGGCGGGAGAGCTTGAGGGAGACCCGGGCGACGATTATGAGGACGACGAGTAAGGCGATCGTGGTGCAGGCGAGTATGGTTACAGTTCTGTTCTCCATTCAGAAGCTTGGACTTAGGGCGCCATTACTGCCGGCCGAGGCGTGCTGGACTGGAGTGGAGAAAAAGAATGGATCGAGGAAAATGTGTGTAAGAAAAATTGTGGTTTTACCTTGAGAAGATGAAGGGGAAATGTAAGCATTTAAGAAATTGCTTCCTCCACTTGGGCCAATTGGCGTTGGGTCAATTGATGCGGTTTGAATCTTTGAAAAGTTCAGGTACAACTACCATTATGATTTATGATTTTGTTTCGAAATGACCAAAGTCGCTCAATTAGCTTTCAGTTGAACGGTACGTATCACAAAATTTCTCAAGTAATGTGAAGACTGAAGAGTCAAATTAGGAGGATGTTTGTGGTATTATCATTATGGGAATTCAGGAGGTCATTTATGATTTGGGTACATATCAAGGGGTTTAAGTGCTTTACGGGAGATTGATTGCAGGAATGGAGATTCTCAAACAAGATCTTAATGAGGATAGAACAATTTCAGGATTGAGATCATACGGAAGATTTCAATCCAAATTTGTTTAGAAGTTAGTTATCGACTAGTTGGAGACTAATTCGATATGTGAAGAATATTTGAAAGTGGGAAGATTTGATATGCTAAGCATTTTCTCTAGCTGGCCTTTCATGATTGCCTTTCTTACCAACCATGAATGGTTGATGATGAATCTGACTACAAACGAGAGTCTTTGAAAGAAGTTGCAAGATTAAAAAAAAACGGATGGTTGCGAACTTGACTAAAGGAGAAGGATGTGGATTTCATAATAACTTGATGGTTCATATGGAAACTAAGGAATGAAGAGTGTATGGGTGACAAGATTTATTATGAGTCTAGTCTTATATGTAGGATTGACTCTTGGTTCAACATCATTCGACAAGCCAAAAAGTGTCAAGAGGAGCATTTTCGCCCTGGAAGTACCAAAGACCAATCAAGTTCATGCTTTGAAACACCGACTTAAGGGTGGATCCAAGTCCACACTGATGGTTGAATGAGATCCTGCTAAGGGCAAGTGGTTACTGGAGGTTGTTCAGGGATCACTTAGGTAGGTGTACTTATGCGTTTGTTTGCAATCAGGGGACTTACTTTATTACAATAGTTGAGTTAAAGAGTGTTGCGAAGGGGTTGTGAATTGTGCGACAAAGAGGATACAAAAAGATTTTCCTCAACCTTGATTGTTTAACAATAGTTGGCATCATAAAGAATGAGATGACTGATGACCACTAATTGTAAAGCAGATTGAAAATCTTTTGAGTTGTGATTGAGATATGATTGTTAATAACGTGTATACATAATGTCACTTTGCAACTGATTATCTAGTTAGTATGAGCCATTTATCCACTACTCTTGCCACACATCCAATCTATGTGAGCCACCCTAGGTTATGTAATTGGATTAAGTATGATTGTATGGGCACTTCCCAAAAGAGACTATGAACTACAAATGAATATAGTAAGTTTCATTTAATGAAAAATCTTATGGTATCTATAAATGAGTTTCTTTATATACATTACAGGTATATACACCACTTAATTTGTCTCGTGGTTGTATTACAAATGTTTTAATTAATTTTTTCATCGACACTTTAATGTGAAACATACAACCGAATGACTTTTGAAGGCACATTATCTCCCAACTAAAGAGATCAAATAAGGAACTAGAAAGTCAACCTACCTTTAGAAATGGTTAGTGAGTATATATACTTCTGTTGAATATTCTTAGTAAGCATGTCACATTGTGTATCACGTTATTGGGCGAGCGTCATTGATACCTTACTCTTACTCGATGGAAACACTTGCCCAGCCATTTAGCACACTCTAGTGACGTATTTTCGTTGTATATAAATGAACAGGTCAGCATGGAATGAACGACAACAAAGGCCGCCTGGTGAACAACTGAAAAGCTCTGAAAACCAAAGGAAGGGAAAAGGCCGCCTCCGAATTCTCCGGGTTCTTCTTCGCCGCCGTCCATCTCAGGGAGATCCACCGGTTTCGCCGCCTCTTCGATTGTTTCCGTGCCGCAGAGATTTCTGGCCTCGATTCACTCCCTTAGGGTCCGGTACTTCCTCTTCGCCGCCGTAGCGGTGGTGATGCTCCTGCTACCGCTGCTTTCCCTTCTCTCAGAACCGACAACTCAAGCATAGGCCGCCGGCTTCCCTGTTCTAGCTCCTAAATCAACCGCCATCGTTGATCTGCTGTCGCAAAACGCCGGACCCACCACCAACCACAATTCTCCTTCTCCAGCAACTGCTCACTTCATTGCTCCCTAGGTCGCCGACTGATTCCTGTTCGTTGCCCGCCGACTGAGAGGTATGTTTGTTTTACTAGATATTTGTATCGCCTTTGTGCGAAATCGCCGATATCGGCGTTCAGCCAACTGGCCGATGCCGTTCTGGGCATCTTTCGTTATGAAAATCAAACCGTCACCACTGGCAGACATCTTTCGTTATGATAATTTAATAAGATTTAGGGCAGAATTATCGCCTTCGTGCGACTCGCGGTCTTCGGCCGTTGCAATTCTAATGGCGAGCACCTACTCCATCGCTCCCCAGGCGGTCTGAATTCTTGATCTATCTCCTCGTGGGACTCAGTGGTCGTCGACCGTTCCGCCATCGTGCGATGTCGCTCAGGGCTCTGCCTGGTTCTTTCTGTAACAGTGACGTAATGGCTAATGAACCGCTTCTCTTTCAGCTTCCAGTTCCAGGTGTCAAGTTGGTTGTGACTCTCCCATTGGCGGGTGAGGGCGGGTTCACGCTTTCTGAAGCGGTTCTTCTTATCCATGATCTGAAGATTGCGTCTGGTAAGTTAATCATCTATATCGTGCTTTGATTAAAGTGAGTAACATATAAGTATTTTCATTAATTAGACCACAACTTATCCCTAACACAAGAAGGTAAGCGGTAAGTTGGATGTTGAGTATTTATTTAATTCTTTACTTATTGCTTTAAATTTAGTAGGTTACACGTGTCCGCCTTGCTTTCTTTTGCTCTTATCCTAACATGCAGTATTGCTGAAGGTAAGCGGTCAATTGGCCTTTGAGTTTTTATTTATTTACCTTTTGCTTTAAATTAATTAGGCTGATGTGGGTGGATAAGCATTCACTTTTGGTGAGGGAGATGGATAAGCGCTTTTGCGTTGCCTTTCCTGGGCTCTTCCTAAGCCGTTTGCTAGCTGGGGTTGGGCCTCGTTTTTGTTTGTTTTTGCAGGAATTCTTGGTCAAGGCGGGCTTCATTTCTGGATGTAGATCATAGGATGTGGAGAGGACACTCGTCGGCTTCGGCCCATCTTATGGAGTTGTAGTTGCTTTTCTTGTTTGTGCAATTTCAACTATTTTGTAGTCTATGTGTTCCCTCATTTTGCAGGTTTAGCTGCTTATAGGGCTGCCCTTTTGTGGCACTAACGGCCCTTTCATAGGTAGTTCGACTATTGCTCGACTACCTGGATTACTTTTGTATTATGTATCACTCGTGGCTACAATCTTAATAAATGTCTATGTTAAAAAAAAAAAAAACAGGTGAGGTGGGGCAGGGCATGCACAAGACATACGTACAAAAAAGCCTTTTGGGCTTAAATCAGTTGGGCCAAATGAGTGCAACAGCGAAATCTGATTTGGGCCTAATGATTAGTCCGTTCGTCAGAAAAAACGGTACGGCATGACGGCCGGCCGCCGGCGCCTGCAAGTGTCCCTCTGCCTCGTTACTTCCGGGTCCTTTTCTCTAATCTCTCTTCCATCCTGTTAATCTTGTCGTCTTCCATTTCTATAATCACCAATAAACCCAAAATTTAGCAGAAGAAGATCAGATAATACATCATTTATCAATCCGATTAGTAGTTAAAAAACAAATTTAAACAGCTAGGACCAGTTTCCTAATCACCTGCAATCTCCCTCGTTTTCTCCGATTACGAAACTGTTTGCATCGCCTGGCACTTGACTATTTCCATACATCCAAGTTTATACATAATAATATGAATAAGAACTTCACACATCTCTCTCTCTCTCTCTCGCCCTCTTCCCGCTTCCTTCCTCTCACCCAAAATTGGAAGTAATCAGCGGCGGCAGGAAATGAACGGCGCCGGCGGGAGGTTTAGATTGAACAATCGAGGTGGCGGCGGCGGGCAGCGGAAGGACAGAGATAACGACGATCTGATACTGTTCAAGGAGTTGAATAGACGGGAGAAGGATCAGGCTGCAAGTCTTCTCCAGCCCATCTCCGATGAGTTCGAGGTTAACGCCGGTGAGAAGCTAAACTACTTTAATCTTCTCTGGTACTGCTTGTATTGTGTTGGGTTATCATAAAGATGGTTACTTTTTTCCGAATTTCTGTGTTCGCGGCGGCAGCGGGGACTCACCATTCGTTCTACCGTATCCCGTCGGGGAAGAAAGACGGATCGCAGGGCTACGAGTTCTTCGGCGGCGGCGGACATGGCAAAAACGATTATGATTGGTATAATTGAAGATAGATTATCTAGTTAAATTGAGAACCCACTCTGATTATCATTCCATCTCTTGTCCTGATCTAAAAAGGTACGTTTTTTTTTTTTGTAATGATAATGATATATGGAATAGGTTAAAAACGCCGCCGGCAACTCCCCTGTTCCCGTCTCTGGAAATGGAAGCCAGTCGGCCGGACTTATTGGTCCAGCGGGAGATCACCGTCGTTCAGCCTCTGTCACGGGTACGTACTTCACGCCGTTGCAGAGTGTTACATTTTATGTTTACAATAATTGGTTTTCATCGCAAGGTAAAGACTCAATTCGTATTGATTCTGAGTTATGGATCGAGTTGTATGTGATTTGATGATATAATTCGATAAGATTTCGAGTCATTTGAAGTTTGCACATTTTATGGGGATGTCAGTTTGCAGCCAGTTCGGAATCCGGTAAGTCAAGAACAACTAGTACCACAACAAGTCCGCCGACCACAACCAAATCCTCGCCGTCGAGACCAAAGATGCCGACCAACAGGTCATCACTCACTGGCCAACGACCAGCCCCCAATGTTGCACAACCAGTAGGCAACGAAGTTGGGCCCACACTAGTCCAATATGGTCGACCAAAGCCCACTACAGATCACTACGCTGGGCCAAAACTGCAGCCCATAATAGAGAGAGCTACCAATACCACTACTATTCCATCATCCGTTGGGAAATCCAATGTTAAACCGGTCCAACAACCCAAAACCAGGGGATTGTCTCCTGGAGTAAGATCCAACATTGCAACAGTTGCTGCCGCGGTAGCAGCCGATCACCACTCTCGAACCACAATTGCTAGCTCCAGGCCCGATCGCGCTAGCTCGACTAGCCGGATCAGGCCCAAACCGATGCCCTTCGGGCATCAAAAGACCTCCGCGGCCGCTACTACTGCTGTTCCTGCAAAACCGCGGAGCAGCAGCAGTAGCAGCAGGCCACGATTATCATCAACAACTACTACGACTAGGACGACGACTACCGCGACAAATAATGAAGGGAACTATGTGCACAATCAGAAGAGCCGCGGTGGTGGTACACAGGTGTTTGGGAGTAAAATGGTGGATAAAGTAATGTCTGCCAGAAAATCTTATTCTACTACTACTTCAGGGATTGGACAACATCTTGAGGCAGTACAAGGAGCTAATAGTGTGAAGCCAAAGGCTAAGCTCATTGCTGAAGGTCTTGGTAACGGCGGCGACAAGGCCGGTAATCTTGCCGGCGCTCCGGCGGCTGGGTTTGGACGGATTTTGGCTCTCCGCAACATGGTAAGTCGGTCTAAGTAGCTAGGAGTTAACCTAGCTAATCAATCTTTACTGATGTTGTCACTGAATTGGGTGTGTGTTAATGTTGTTTTCACATGGTGGATTTGAACTTTGCACAGGAGTTAAATCGAGATCGGAATAACAGGTCACATTATAATCAGCATGCCACCAGGTCTTGATCAAACAAGAACAAGCTAGCTAGCCGGTTTGCTATGGAGATGAAGAGCTATACTTCCTTTTGATTTTTCATTCTTTAGTTTTTATCACTTCATGCACATTATTAACTTATATTTATGTATAATTTTAATAGAATTGTTGAGAACTCAAGGTGAACACTGGTCATATGTACCCTGATCAATTTATGATTTTGTCCGTGTTTGTTTGTTACCTTAGCAATGAAATTACCGATTTTGATATATTTATTTGGAGAGATTACTTAATTAAGTGTCAAATAACATGGCTAGATAGCTAGCAAACACACCAGCCTAGAGGTTGTATGTCAATTGTCAACCTTGCGAACTAGATCGTGCCATTCAAGTATGTGCAAGAAAATGAGAATGATCAAAGAAATCGATATAATGCCCCAAAAGATGGAATTGAATATCGAAAAATAGGTTAACACATTATTTGACACGTATATAAAAAAATCAGAAAATAATTTAGAAGATATATAAAACAAATTATAAATGACAACTCCAACAAATTGAATGCCTTTTTTTTCTCTCCCTCAAACGCCTCCGATTAAGAGATTGAGGTTCCAAGATGGGCTAAGAAAAAACGAATGCGCACAAATTAGAGAATAATGACTTTGTCATAAAAAGAATGAACCATAGAGTCCCCCTAATTGTCAAAGTGAAAACCTTTACATCGGAAAAATATAATATCTTAAGATGGCTACTTACACATTGCAGTTGTTCTTAAATTAATAGAGCTTTATCAGTAGAGTGTTTGTTTTTACTAAGATGTGCAGTGGAAAGCTTTATTATTTATTAGGGTAAAGGGCCTCTGAGCTAAAGCAGGATAGAGACAAAAGGGATCATCAATTAGTAGGAAGCTTTCTCATATTTTTATCGGCAAGTGCTAGACGCTATGACCTGCCCTAACTCTACATTAGGGTATTTTTTTGGTTTCAAACCTTCGGTGTATTAAGTAGAAGCCCTCTAACCGGGCTTAACTCTTCAATGTGGTGTTTTTCTCAAGATGTGTCATGTAGGGGTATAAGTTTGATCCTTAAAACCCATTGATCTGCCCCGATCCTGAGAGTCCGGCTGTGTTAGCTTGTCTACAGGATCAACTTAAGATCGGGTCAATTTAGGGTCGGGTCACTTTTTGACCATATGACTCTTAGCATCATACAAACACGCTAGACCTATTTGTAAAGTTTTAAAAGTTTAGGTACTAAATTGTAAAAATACTTTTGGGGTACCAAAATGTAATTTTACCATCAAATTTATGGGACTTACTTGTAAAAAAAGTAAAATTTAGGTACTAAAATGTAAGAAAAAATAAATTTGGGTACCAAATTATAATTTTTAGAAAAGTAGTGTATTTATTAGGGTCGACCCATTGACCCGACCCTTCCTGACCCGCCCCGATCCTAAAGGGTCAGACATGGTCATGAAAGAAATAGGGGCGTCAGTTATACATCTTGATCCTTCAAGAGCGGGTCAGACAGGGCCAGGGGCTGGTCGGACCAATTTTGAGCCCTAATGTCATGTAACAAGCTTTATTGGTAGGGTGCCGCGGCGGATCCAAAATATAGTAGAGCACTAGACCGCATTTGAACAAAAAATTAACCGCGTAGCGTCATAATAACAATAAATTTCAATAAAATGTCAATTGTATACTACCATCTTTTAATTTAGCAAATTTATTAATAATTGAGTCTTCATTCATACCAAATTCATCAAAATAACTTCCTAATTCTAATTCAAGTACTCCAAATAGCACAACAAACAACTAGCACAACAAATTCTATCCATTCTAAAAGCTAAGTTCTTTATTAATTGAAATCATAACAAACATTGGGTTAATGCAGTTCTTTCTCGCAAAGCAATAGATTAATGTAGTTAAACAAAACAACTATGGGGAGTTCTACGGTACCCAGGGTGAAATCCGGAGTACCGCATACCTTGAGTAAGAAAACGTTATCAATAATTTGAATTGACTAATCTTTCGGACATGATACTATACTCTAACCCTTAAAGATCAAAATCTGGGTCTTAATTCTCTAAATCTTATACCCCAAGATCAATTTAATTGGCAACAATAATCGACGATTATGATTCGTCCAAATATAGGCAAAAAATCAATGCACCATCTTAGGGTTTATAGTTTATGATTTCGATAATTAGAACCTAGGGTTTACTCATTAAGGGTTAGGGTATAGTATGATGCCCAAAAATCCTTCTAATTCGAGGTCTAAATAGTGTTTTCATACTCAAGGTATGCCGTACCCTGGATTTCACCCGGGGTACCGTAGAAGGCACCATATATATATGTATATAATACAAAGCACAAAATTGAAAATCTTCATTCTCTACCCATGACCCAACGCCAACAGATCCGCAGTCCCTTTCCTAATCCCAACAAATAATAGAATGACTTAAAAGTTAAAACGCAAAATAGGGCTGGGTTGCTGGCCGTGAGGCCATGCAGCGCCGCAACGACGATTTCGCCGGAGACCTGGAGTGGGGATTGGGGAAAAGGGCGGAGTGCTTGCGGAGAAGGAATTTAATTTTATGGCCTCACCAGAAGACCAAGAAAAGGCTTTTGGGAATTTAATTTTGGTTTTAGGTTTTGGATTTAGGAAGGAAAGGCTGGGCCCAAATTGGTGAAAGAGCTGAAATTATAAGCTATATACATTCTATGCTAGGGGAGGGTTGGACCGGGCCTAATGTGGCCCTCCTCTGGATCCGCCGCTGGTAGGGTGTTTTTAATAAGATGCATATTCTAGAATAGAAGGAACATAGAATTTGCTTGAAACAAGTTTTGTGAGTGACTTCCTGGTGAATCCCCAACAAAATCTACTTTAAATTAGGAAAGTGAAGTGGGATAGCAATTAGCAACCAAAGATTCTACTTCTGAAGAGCTAGCAAGCATCCAACTATTGTACTTGGTGAATTTATCCTAATTAGGTGGGTATTGTTTCCTGTTTTGCAGTTTGTTGAATTATAGGGTTTTTCTTCGTACAATGTAATCATGCAGCATGTTAAGAATAACTGTTGACGATCATCTGGAGAACGTGGTGGGTTCCCTTTAATTTATAAGTTCAAAATCCTTTCACCTGTTTCTCATCTCATGTCTTTCTTAATTACTTGATTACTTATATACTATCCCTAACATCTAACCAGTACTTAATTACTACTGCAAATGTTATATTCAGATTTGGATCATCGTACAAATTATAAAATCATAAGATTCGTTGCAATTTATTATACATAGAGTAAAACACAATACACACGCTGAGATTCTATACACAACGCTAGTTTTGAGAAGAAGAATGACCATACATTTCAACTATAATATATTATCCTCTGAGATAAGGATCTGAAGCAGGGGGCCTATTGGGTGGGCTTTTCTGGACTCTGTATCTTGGGCCCGTTTACAGGAGGTTCTTTCTGGATGGATCTTAAAAGAGGCCATTGTCAGTCGTCGGTTACATGTTTCCCAACCGATACAGCTTACAATTATGATCCTCAATCCTCATCATCAGGGCCGGTAAAGTAGACTTAGATGGTTTGAAGAATACGTGAAACAAATGAATTGTACATTTTAATCCGGACCGTTAAGACTTAAGAGTGGTTCGGTGTGACAAATTCATATCGCAGTTTATCGGATCAGAATATGGATTTATCGCATTTCTTAATTTGTGTTAGTAACTCACTCGGCCATTTTATTCACTCCTCAAGTCTCAATCTTCATTTTTGAATAACGTCTTTTTCTTCTTCTTCTTCATTCACAAATCATACACTACCGGCAGTGGCGGACCCAGAATTGCCGGAGAGGTGTGTCGCCAATAAAATAATATAATAATTAAATTTTTTTAAAAATTATTAGAAATTACTAGAAATTAATTCATAAAGTTCATGTTTACTAGAAATGTCTGTAAATACATTCATTGCTTATGTTGCGAAGCAAATCCTTTTCGATATACACAACTAAAAAATGATTCATAAATTGGTCACTCAACCGATTTCAATGTTCATTCTTGATTATCTTCATAGCTGAAATCTTTTGCAACTTTCAATTGCAACATGTAAAGTCAACACCAACTTCCAAAAGCAAGTAAAACTAAAGGGTAAAAGAAAAGGGAGATGTGGTAATGGCTCTAAGTAATTAGAAACTAAAACAGGGTAAGGGTGAGATTTTATTTTCAATAAAGGAGGGGTCAAGGGGTGGAAACGGTGAGTTTCAAAGGATGGGGTTATGTTTATTTTTTCCATTGTTGGGTTGTGGTAGGGATGACAACCAAACCCATGGTCGCGGGTACCCGACCTCCTATGACCCAGTCAACGCGGAAATTCTTGCGTTGACAGGGTATGGGGCGGGTATGGATAAAACCCCCAAAAAGGTTGATGGGTATGGGGCGGGTATGGTTTTTGACTCTCCCACCCCATACCCATACCCAAACCCGCCCACCAAGAATATTATGTTATATACGTAAAATATAAGGAGTGTATTGTAACTTGTCAATCGAATGAAGGGTAATTAAAAGAAAACAACCAAACCGTAATTTCATCCTCTTATGTATTAGTTCCATAATTTTGGGTGGGTAGTATCCATATTTGTCACCATATTCTTTTATTAATAGTGAGTAGTTGTTGGGGCAATATTACCCATGGGTATCCAAAAACCGCGGGTATGAGGATGAGTTTGTAAGACCTTCCACTGCATGGGTATGAGACGAGTATGAGTTTGAATATTTGGAAATGAGGATCAGGTTGGTTTAGGCAAACCCGCCATATTGTCATCCCTAGGTTGTGGTGTGGGTTACTCTAAAACAAGCATACTAATTTGAATTTACTTATTATATTATTGTGTATTACTAATTAAGATAAATAGCTTTATAAAAAGAAAATCATTCCCGTATAATGAAGGTGTATCGCTCACAATAATTTAAGGTGTGTCGGAAGTCCCAAATTAAAAAACAAATGTACCAAAAATATATAGGTACTTC